ATGCCACACTCTGCTCATTCACAGCTCATGCCACACTCTGCTCATTCACAGCTCATGCCACACTCAGCTTCAAATAAAGGGATATGGTGTCAGGGACGGCTGAATCAGAGAAAACACATTTTATTATTTTTCCTGAAAGTCTGCAGAAGACATGAAGCTAAATTATTGACATCCATAGCACAAAGTCACAGACCTCTGCTCAAACCCGCTTTTGCCTCCAGGAGGTTTGGCATAACCCGATGGAGCAAAACGTTTGCACTGCGTTGTTATAATACAAACCTACCACAAGATGTCACTGTTGCACCTATGATCAGCACAGCTATCTGGCTCCTGTACAAGGTACACTGAGACAGAGGACAGGGATGACTGCGCAACAACTAAAACCTCTTCTGAAGAAGGTTTCTCTCTGTACCCCGTGCATACCGTGACACTGGAATGAAGTAACAAGAAAATTCAACAATGTATCAAACATCAGTAAAAACCGTCTCACTTTTTTCAAGCAGCTGCTGAAGCTAAAAGCAGAAATTAAAACCAAAAATAATTACATTAAGAAATAAAATAACAAAACCAACTTTTGTTGCAATATTCGGCCTCAATTCCAGAGACTGATCCTGCCATTAGGTCAGTAAGTGATCATTGCCAGCATCATCGGTAGAACCATATCATTATTATTATTAGGGTTGCACAGATACCAAGTACAGTACATGTACCGATACTTTTGAGCTCCAAGACTAAATCTCTGTTTTAATGTACGATTTTGTTTTTATAAATATAAATAAAGGGATGCACAGATACCAGTTTTGCGAGTACGAGTACTGATACTTGCCGAGTACTTACAAGTACGAGTACTGATACATTTTTGTTTATTGTCATGTGACAGTTTTTCTAAAACAATACAGACTAATGATTTCAGGACAGTGGTGGAGTGCCAGAGCCCGGTCCCAGCTGCAACCGCTGCAACCCTGCTAGTTCTCATGAAAATGCCAAGTATCGGTACTGGTACTCGAAAAGTATCTGTGCAACCCTAATTATTATTCATCTGTTTCTGCTGCTGTTGCTGGCATTATCATCCGCTGACTTACCTCCTGCCATAGATTCACATTCCCGGGAGCCTTTGCATTGAGTAGACATGTGCGATTCGTTTCGTTCCGAGTCAAAATTTGGACCAATGCATCCGAATCTGACTTTCGTTTTCCGAATTTCGGACCCCATCCGAATTTCGTTCAAAAACTAAACTGAATCGGACATGTGACTTTTCTGGCCAATCAGATGTGCTTTTCGGTTTAATGCATCCGAATGGGTCTGAACATTTTCGTTACGGCAACATGGCAGCCATATACAGTATATACATATAAAATACTAAAGCTGAGGCTCCTAGACCCGAATGGCATACGGTAACCGAATTTACAAATGCAATTGGGATCCCGAATGCCATACGGGTCTGGGAACCTCAGCCTAAGTAATATATGTATATGGCTCCCAGACCCGAGTGGCATTCGGGATCTGAATTTACAAATGCAATGTCAAGACTGGTACAAGACAACAGAAGGGCAACAGTGCAGTGTCAGATTCCTCGCATCACCTTTCATCATCTCGCGGAGTCACGAGGCGGCCCAACGAAGTACTGATGGGGTGGTCATCATAATCTGGCCACTCAGTGTACACTATATAAGGCCAGCAAGCAGTAGATATATGCAAAATGATTTAAAAAAAACAAAACTTTTTCAACAGGTTAATACTTACCTGTGTCTCCGCCACACGCTCCCGTCCGAACATCTGAAAATTTCTCGGGCGGCCGCAAAGGATCTGCGCAGTTCAGATGTTCGGCCGGGAGACGAGGAGAGAGACAAGGTAAGTCTATGGAGTAGCGTGCACCCGCATGCAGTGACCGTGGGACATGAGAGAAGAGGACAGAGGAGTCAGCGCTGGATCGGAGACACGCACCAGCGCTGGAGGGACAGCTGAAAAGGACAGTAAAAAAAGAAGATGATCGGATAAAGAAACATCATTTAAGGTAAGTCCTTACATTAGCACTGTGGGGGGGGCGGG